ACACCCCAAATCAGGCTTTGTGCTAGCCCTGCCCCTCTGTCTTTCACCACATGGGCTTCTCATGGAACAGTGGTGGTCCAATGGAAATGGAATGTGAGCCATAGGGGCGCCTGGCTGGCTCAGTCATTAAGCGGCTGCCTTCGGCTCAGGTCATGATCCCAGGGTCCTGGGATCGAGCCCCGCATCGGGCTCTCCCAGCTCAGTGGGAAGGCTGCTTCTCCCTCTCTCACTCCCCCTGCCTGTATTTCCTCTCTCGCTGTCTCTCTCTGTCAAATAAAATAAACAAAATCTTTAAAAAAAAAAAAAAAGAATGTGAGCCATATATGTAATTTAAAATTTTCTAGTAGCCACATAAAAAGTAAAAAGAAACAGATGAAATCAATTTTAATATATTTTGTTTCACTGAAATATATTCAGAATATTTATAATAAACAACCAATATATAAACATATTTCTGTAACCAATATATACAACTATACATAGAATGGTTTAAAATTTTTTGTACTAACTCTTCAAAGTCTGATGTGTATTTTATACTTAAATCACACCTCATTTGCAATTAGCCACTTTTTAGTACTCAATAGCCCTGTGACTAATGGCTACTGTTCTGTACAACACAGGCTGTATGTATGTGTGTGTGTGTGAGGGAGGGTGGGGGGAAAAGAGAAAAGGAAGAGAGAGGTGGGGAGGTGTGGAGGTTCCAGAGGGTAAGACATAAACTTCAGGAGAGTGGGGTAAGTAGATGATGAGTGCAACTTTAGGTGGCATTTGATCTCAGCCAAGGATCCTGCTGGAGTAAAAGTGTTTAAGCTGAGATCAGAAGGAACCGCTCAAAGTTACAAGATTAGTGACAAAGTACCTTGCTAGAAGCTAGAAATTAAAAGCCTTAGCTAGAATTTGTTCATGTATTCCTGTGTGTCTTAAACTAAGCTTCATATTTTTCCCATCTGTAAAAGCAAGTTGATTTGCAAAATCAAAATGTTAACCATAGAAATGCTTTTCTAAGACCATTTACAAATAAAAACATATAATGCCCTTGGAACTAAAAGCATGATTTGCAGTATCTGTGCCCTAAGGTTATTGGGACAAGATTCCTTTCCCATCTCACAGAAGTTGGTCATCCTTAGCAAAAGAAAACTTAGGAACTAAACAACGTGGATTTTCTTCTGACTGCTTCAAGTATACCAGTTTTTATGTACATGTCATGTCCTCATGGAGGATGTTCTCATCAATACATTCCAGTCTCCTGTGTGTCAGAACATCATGTCCATCTCAGTTAGGAGGACACAGCATGTTACACAGGCAATGTAAGGGAATGAGGCTTCTGTGTTCTGGCCTATTAAAGATGATGAGAAAGTAGAAAAAGAGAACACAGCAGTTGTGATCTATTATTTTTTAAGCCTCATATCATGTGCCTACAGCTTATAAAATCTAAGCCTCACTATAACCGTGGGAAGTCAGTGTGTCTTATCCTCTTTGTGCAGATTGGGAAATGGACCCTCAGAGAGATTAAATAACATTACTAAGGTCCTAATGCTAGGTTTGAAACCTAGTTCCTGTTGATTTTGAAAGTAGTGGAAATCTTTCCTTTGTGCTAGGATGGCAGTTCAGCCCAAGTGAATTCTAAAGACTCTGAAAAGTAACCTGAAAAAACTCCCCAGAGCTCTAAATTATTTGCAAAATAGGAAAAGCCACCTTCTCTCTTCCTTCATGTTTGACATTCATCCAGAGGAGAGGAACGCAGGCAACTAAAATAATCTTTGATTACTTTTTGTGCAATTCTCAAATAGATCCTCTGAATTGGCCAAAAATGTCATCACTAATGAGTTTATAGTGTGTCAGGCCCTCTTTTGAGACTTCACTGCACAGAGTAACTCATTTGATCTTCACCATAACCCCATGAAGTCGGTGTTGTTATTTTCATCCCCGTTTTACAGATGAGGAGCACAGAGGTTAAGTGACCTGCCCAAAGCCACCCAGCTGGTAAGTGGCAGAGCCTGGACACAAAGCCAGGTGGTCTGGCTCATAGCCACAATGCAGACTGCCTCACTATGCTGCTAAAGATCAACCCAGTAAATGTCTCTAGTGGGATTAGGGTTAAACTAAACAGCCTGTTGCATGCAAATGTCATGTTTCTGTGGAGTCTTTGAAAACTCCCAACTGACTCAAAGTTCTCTCAAGGGTCTGAACCTGCTACTCTTCTGGGTGAGGACCTATCATGGAAACTCCTATACTCACTGTCATCTTATTAGTCTTAAGTACTATAATACCCCATGAAAAACAAAAATCTAGTCTATCTAGCCAAGCATTTTATCAGAGAAATCTGCCCCAAATCCTTCTCCATGTGCATTTTTTTAAAAGATTGTATTTATTTATTTGATAGAGAAAGAGAGAGAGAAGCAGACTCTTTGCTGAGCTGGGAGCCCCATGCAAGACTCCATCCCAGGATCCTGAGATCAGGACCTGAGCCGAAGGCAGACACTTAATCAACTGAGCCACCCAGGCACCCTCTCCATGTGCATATTTTTATCTTGATCAACCTGAATTAATGATCTAATTGTGGGCTGAAGGAAGCATTACCATTCTAGGCAGGATGTGAGGACCCTCCCGATCCAACATCTCAACTCCCCATTTACTGCCAGGGTTGGTTCACTTCATCTGGAACCCAGCTGCCCAGGCTGATGGCTTCTTCTTTCCTAGCTGCTCTGTGTCCTCCAAAAAGCATTCTACCTGGTAAAAATCGAGCTGTCCCTGGATTTCATAGGAAACCTAGCTTGCGACAATGGGAGGCAAACACTTCAGTTGGTTCAACCTCTGGTCTATACCAAAGGTTCTATGAAGGACTGTGTCATTTACCATTGTACTCTCCCTCTGCCCTCTCAACTAGCATAGCAGCTGGCCAATAGTAGGTACACAATAAATATTTGTTAAATTAATGGCCTCTCTAAATCTATTATGTTTCTGCATCTCTACATTAGGTATAGTGGCTCTATTTACAATACAAAATGATTATGATAATAACAGCAAGAAATTTATTACTTTCCTTGAAAGGTAAAAGTCATGATAAGAATGACTGTTTTTGCTGAAAAGCCTTAATTTTGAACCTTAGGCAATCATTCATATTCATATTCTTAAGTATGTTCTTTGAATCATAATATAAAATACTACCAATCAAATGCAAAAGCGATGGAGAGTGAACAACTCAAGTGAAAAAAACTGTAGAAAGAACCAAAGGAAAACCGAGGTATGACTACAATCCCACAAACTTGTGGAAGCATCTTTATTGTTATGTTTTCATTTAACAAGCAGAAGGTTTATGGTGCTGATGGATTTCTTTTTTTTAAGATTTTATTTATTTATTTATTTGACAGAGAGAGAGAGAGAGACAGCGAGAGAGGGAACACAAGCAGGGGCAGTGGGAGAGGGAGAAACAGGCTTCCCGCGGAGGAGAGAGAACGAAACATGGCTGATCCCAGGGTCCTGGGATCAGGACATGAGCCGAAGGCAGACACTTGACAACTGAGCCACCCAGGTGCCCCTGGATTTCAGTTTTAATGGGGACATAATGCAAGTATTTATCCAAGAGAAATAGTCTGTTTCTAATCTTGGTCACTGCTTCCCGCCCCCCCCCCAAAAAAAACCTACACAAGGAATACAATTCTGGTTACCAAAAAGCCTCAGATATGCAGGGCCAAATCACACAGTTCTTTTATAAACTGGGTCTGCAGAACACAATAAACATGATGTGGGCTGGAGAAAAAAGTTAACCGGGTACCCAGGATTACCCGTGACTGCACTTTCTTCCCAGCCTTAACTTCTAACACTCCCCATCGCACTTCACACTCTAGCTGCAAGAACCAAACCACTGCTGACCCTAGGGCAGAGACGAAAGAAAGAAGGAAAGCCAGCCAGCCACATGGTTTTATCCACCAAATATGAAAGCTGAATCTATGTGGAGATGTATGTGAGTGAAATAGAATGGGGGCACACAAGCCTTAGGCCAGAAACTAACATCTGATCCAGGACCATTTAAAGACCTGTGAAGAGGTACGTGCTTTTGCTGAGGGCTTTTTAAAAGTTTTTTCTCTCCTTTAAACCAGCAGTACCCAGATCACAAAATCCTCAATCTTGTGGTTGATACGAATATACACCCCAGGCAGCTCTCAACAGCAAGAGCTAATTTCTGGTATCTTCCACTGTCAGGAAAGACAAAGACTATCTCACAACCTAGGAAGGGGGTTCTAGGGAAACTGAAAAGCACACGGCGGGGGCCAGAACAGAGACAAAAAGAAGAGAGCAACACGAATTTTGTATAAGGCAAAATAAGCACAAGCAGCCAGCCAACAGGTTGCCCTTGTTGCAGAATCCATATAATCCAGGATAAATCAGCTCTGAATCTGTTTTCTCAAAACCCCCACCCCTGCCAGGTAACACCTCAGGACTTAAGTCTCTGTCAACTTCTCTGTCCACACGAAAAAAAAGAATGTGGGAGAAAGAGAATTAAATAATAGAAGACACTTATCTACTCCAGTTTACTAATAATGTGGGTGGTGACGCTTCAAGAGCCGAGTTTGGGAGTGAAGAAGGGGAAGGGAGAAAAAGAAACCACAACCCCTCTGAGCTCAGCTGAGGTCTCGGCAGAACAAGTGTCAACGCTTTTAAAGGGCACGGCTTGCTCTCAGTTGCAAAGCACACCGGCTGGCAGGGTAGGCGCGGGGGACTGCTTACCCGGAAGCCCGCAAGAGGCCGGGGGGGAGGGGGGCACCTCAAAAACAGAGACATCACCAGCACCGCGCCAGGCGCGCCGCCCCTCCCTCCCGTTCCCACTAGAGGAAAGCGCATCCAGTGTCAAAGTCGCGGTGGAACACGACCTGGTCAGACAGGTCGGAGCACGAAGAGGGGGCACCCGTCGAGGGCTCTCCTTGCCCAGCAAACACCAGCCAGGGGGAAGCCTGGAAAGTGGAAACAAAACCAGCAAAAATGAAAGAAAGACACGTTACCTTGTTCATCCCATTCCCCATGGTGGCTGAATGCGAACTCTAGCACCCTTGGAAATGAGGTCGCAGGCTCACTAATGGCATGTTACAACAGGAGGGAGGAGCAGGTGGAGCGGGCGGGGGAGGAGGCCCTGGGGAGGAATTTCGTGCTCGCAGTATAAACAACAACAACAATAATAATCAGGGACATCCAGGCCACTCGGTTTGCTCCAGGGAGCTGGCCTGGACGGTAGGGCTTTCCGCTAGTCCGCCCCGGACTTCCCGGCCGAGCAGGGCAGAGGAACTGGCGCCCTTGCCGGGAAATGGTCTCGCTTTGCCAGTGCACGCCCCGTGAGCGCCCAAGAACCCCTCCCCGGCCGCTCCCGGGGACTTGTGGAGCTCCGGGGCGCTGCGACCGCTCGCCCCGCCCTGCGCAGCCCACAGCTTCCCGGCTGCCGGAGCCGGGGCTCAAAGCGCACGCGCAGCGCAGCGGTGGGAGCCCCAGCCGCGAGCGTTCCGGGTGAAGGACTTACGGGCGGGGGCGGGGCCTGGTGGTCGCGCAGGCGCTTCCCCAACCCGGCCGCCGCGCGTCACTCGGCCACCTCCCCCGGGATCAGGGTCACCGAAACTCCCGCAGACCTTTCCCCTGGGGCAGTGCGGGGGACCTGTTACCAGTAGTCACCACCCTTGCCTTGACTGCCTCGGTGAATCAGGTGCTAATCAGAGCTTTGGTCTTCGCGGCTCCCGTCCTTGGGTTTTCTGAGGGCGACAGATTTAGGCCCCGGTTGGGGGATTCCTATGGCCCTGCCCCACCCACGAAGACCGAGAAGGCTCACCCGGTGGGGAAAGGGGGAAAGGTGGGCTCAGTGACTCATCTCTGGGATGACCTAACCTCCCTACCGTGGGGGAGCAGATGGCCAGATCTCAGACCTCATACCGTGTCATTGGATTTCTAGTATGTGCCCATCTTCAGATTATAAAGTGGCTGTATTAGGTGCATGGTTGTATTGACACAGTTGCTTCTGGAAAGCCCCTGTCCTTGCTAAACAGCATAGTAATGTCTGCATTATGATTGTGTCTGGAGTAGAATACTTTCTAGCAGAATTGTTTTGAGAATTCTATCACCCCTACTAAGCTCTTAACTTTTTCCCTGGGGACAGAATCCTTGAGGTAGGGGTTTCTCAGTGTTATTTTTATATTTTTAGCAATGCTCTGCACAAAAGAGGTGCTTAATAATTGTTAAATGAACATACACATCAATCTAATATGGCTGGGCTCACCCCTGATGACCTCATTTCATCTGCTCTTCTTGCTCAACAAGTTACAGCCACACTGGCTTTCTGTGTGCCTCTTGAACCTGCCAGGCTGGATCCTGCACTCTGTATGGGCTGTGCTCTCCACCCAGACCTAGCCCTTTGCAAAGCTGGCTCTTGTCTTTGAGGTCCCAGCCCAAATGTCACCTCCTCAAAGAGGCTTTTTCTGACCACCCAATCTAAAGTAGATTCTTCAGTCACTGTCGTATTACCCTGTATTATTTCCTTCATAGCATTTAACATAATTGGACATTATCATATTTGTTTGCTTACGTTTTATCTGTCTTACTAGAAAGCAGCCTCCTGATGTAAAGGACCTTATCTGTCTCATTCATTACTATAGCCTGGGACAGTCTGGGACAGTACCTGGCATAAAATAGGGGTTCAGTATATATTTGTTGAATAAATTAATGAATTCTAGAGGACTGAGACCATCAGTTAGATTCTGAAGGATGCTGACATTTTGTAAAGAACTTCCAGATTCCATCTGAGCCATTTCTCTCCTTGTACTCCACGTATCTTCTGGGCAATAGCAGGGACCAGAACCCCACATGTAGGAAGCCCCCGCTCAGTGTACACCCAAATTGTCTTCCATAGGTTGGATAGAATACAGACCTGACCCCTTGCTTCTGGAGTGTTCCTTCTCTACCACCTTCACTTCCTCTTCTCTCCCTCACCTTCCAGACACCTGGACAGCACATCTCCTATCCCTCTGCTCCTCACCATCACTATTTTTACTCACTTCCTGCTTATAGATAACTCAACATGGTTAGTAGACTGCCTGGGGAATCCCAAGACCAACCTTTGTTCCTAAATCTCATGGTGATCTTTGGCAAGATGATCAGCTTTTCTGAACCAGTTTTTTCCTCCTCATTTTAGAGAGCATTGGACTGCAAATTTTTGAAGATCCTATCCAGAAATCAATGAACTACTTCTTTTTCCCTCCACTTCAGTTGTGCTGTTGTTGTTTCTAGTAATCAGATGAACTTTCAAGAACATAACCAGTTCATAAGTTGGTAGTTTCCCATAAATGGCAGATCCATACACAATTTTTCTTCTGTAATCCATTTGGAACATTTCTGTTCTCTTATTCATTTCTTATACCCTCTCCTAAGCTCACAATCTGTGATGGTTATCTCCTAACAGTCAAAATGGATACTCTGGCCTTCGTTCAGTATGGTCCTACAAGATCCACATGCCCAGAACTCATTTCAAATTCTCAGATTTTTATTTTTGGTTAAATGAGAAAAGAGAAGACCATTAACATCAGAAGTCAGAAGAGTCATTTTAAAAATATGTTCTGTAGGAGGTTTCTCCATAAGAGACTGTCTCCCTGCACTCCCCCCATCCTATCCTAGAGCTTAATCCTACCTCTCTTTATCATCACACAATAATTAACAGTTTGTCATATCTTGCAAGTCTATGACTAAAGAAAAGGAAAAGGGAAAGTCTGATCCAATTTGGGCAACATGTCCTGGTTTCCTTTCTTTTCATTTTCATAGCGACACCTCAGAGATTTTCAGGTTCAGTTCTCATACCAAAGAGGTGAACTGCCCATTTCCAAGTGCCTTTCTGTCTTCCTTCTTTTATTCTTGATAGCTCCTGATTATAGAAAGAAGGGAAGGAAAGAGACTCCTAGAAGAAGCTGGCAAGTTTCACATCTAAAGTAGAAATTATTTATTTGCATTCTCTCTCACTCATAAAGTTTTTAAGTCATCATAAGCCTAGTGGAATTTCATCCCATGTAAGATTTTTACTTTCACTTTCTTTCCTGCCGTTTTTGTCTCTCTCAACACAACCAACACCATAAATTTTGGTAATGCCTCCAAATAAGTAAAACCTTCACATGTGCCTAGTGAGGAGGAGTCTGTTAACAAGCTGAGTCCATACACATGTGATGAAGGATAACCAGTTAATGGTGTATTTAGTGAGCGATAACTGAACTTTAAGGTAGTAGTGTGCAAAAGCCCACAAGCAGAAGCTCAACCATTAAAGGCAGCCAGATCATTAGGGGTATTGCTGATAATTTCAGAGAATTGAGATAAACCTCTGCCCAAGTGAGAAGGAGTTATGTAATCTTCCTTGGCTTTTTGAACAAACTGTAATCCAGAGTTTCTCAACCTCGGCATTGCTGATATTGGGGCTAAACTTTTTTTTTTTTTTTTGCTTGTGGGGCTGTCCTGTGCATTGTAGCATATTTAGGAGTATCTCTGGTCTCTATTACTATATGTCAGCATCCCCACAGTGTCATGACAATCAGAAATATCTCCAGTCCTTGGAGAGCAAAATACATATCCTGCCATTATCATCTGAATGTTAGGGCCGGGCACCTGGGTGGCTCAGTCGGTTGGGCATCTGCCTTCAGCTCAGGTCATGATCCCAGGGTCCTGGGATCGAGCCCCATATCGGGCTCCCCGCTCAGCCGGGAGTCTGCTTCTCTCTCTCCCTCTGCCCCTCCCCCCTGCTCGTGCTCTCCCGCTGCCTGCCACTCTCTCTGCTTGTGCTCTCTCCCGCTCTCTCTATGACAAATGAATAAATAAAATCATTAAAAAAAAAATGAATGTTGGCCACATGGATGACATCTTTTAGAGACAAAATCTCTTTCTGTCACTCTTTCCCTCTCTTTCTCTTGCTTTATAACAAGTTAAATTTATACCAATAGTTAATGTTAGTCCTCCACAGAATTCTTAGGCCATGCTGTCAAATAAGAACAAACTAAGAACAAGAAGTTAAAACGAAGGGCTAATATAACTAAGGCATGACTAAAAGTAAAAGAAAGCTAATGAATTGTGGAAAGAAGAAAGATGGAGTCTAGAACTACCTAAGTAAAAGCACAAAACATTTTCTTTGTTTCTCCAGAACTGTCCGGAAAGAGGTTACCCAGTTGACTGTTTGAGGCCATGCAGAGAAGCCTGACCATAAGGGTAGCCTCCTCAATGACCTCAACCTTTCAAAGGCTACCAGTTTCCAGTCCTCCAACTAGTCTTTTCTGATTATGAACTTGGTGTCCCCCTTCCCCTTAAGAGGTTTGGAGAGCTCAGATCTCAGAGCACAGGCATCTGGTGAGATCAGAGAAGAACAGTAAGAGGAATGGGTATGTAGGTAGGTAAGCAGGGCAGGGAGAGGGGGTCAGAGAATCTAAGAGGAGGTAAATGGAGAGATGTGAGCAGACATAGTTGGGAGTCAATAAAATCTGCTATGTGTAGGGTTTCTGGGAGGGTTGGCAGAGGTAAGGCCAGTGTTGGAGGAATGGGGTTATCAAGCAGTTTATAGAGCAGACTACCAGGGAAAGGGGGGAATAAGAGCCCTCGTTCCTAAAAATCAGGTAGAAAGTGACTATTGTCAGCCTGTAGCCTACAGGTTATAACATGGATGCATGTATATTGTGAGTATACCTAGCTTCGAAAATTGTAGGCTTCATGAGGGCAGGGACCAGTTGTCATCACACTTTATATCCAGCACCTACAATAGTCCCTAGCATATGGGGAAACTTTCTGATGTTTGTTGGTTAAAGAGAGAAAACACAACTGGGAGGTTGTTGCATTTGTCTAGATGTGAGGTTCACTAATAATTCATTCTTTTTTATGCTAGCTACTCTATCATCACCTCATCTACCTGTTTTTCCTTTTGTAGAGCAATTTCTAGGTGGGATGGCTCTTTGATCTAGGGATGACCAAAGTCCTATTGTCCTTTGTTTTTGAAAGTGATGCAGTGCACATTGGTGTGATGGGGGGGGGGAGTCCTTGCACACAATGCTTTCATGCTTTGCTGTACTCTTGTACTCTGCCACTTGAGTTGCAGCCCTAGCTGTAGTTGGCAGAGCCCAGTAC